CGCGCCGCTTCAGTCCAAGCACGGCCGGCGCCGGACGCGGGCTGCCCGGCCCGTCCCAGGTGAGCGTGCGCTCGGCCGCGGGCTCGAGCTTCAGGCGAAGAGCGTCCACCTCTGCCGCCGTCGGCCAGCAGCTCTCGTCGCGGCGGCAGTAAGGCGAATGCGCTGCGACGGCGAGGACGCTGATGAGCATGGCAAGGATGGGAGAGCGCGGCAAAAGGATGTGGCGTGACATCCTGCACAATGCGGCGCGCATCGTTGTTTTTTTTTGGTGGAGATGAAGCCAGTCTGTTCTACCTACCTACCTACTCTTGTCAGCAGAAAGTCCGCCTCGGGTATGCACATATACTGGAGACTACTGATGAACACAAACATCTTTCCGCTGAAAAAGGTGCTAGTATGAGCCCGACCCAGGTCGTAGTGTTCTTGCTCCCAGCGCTTGCGCTTCGGCGGTTAGTGGTGCACTAACCTCTGAGAAACCCTTCGGGTCGCTCCTCATCGCAAACCCTGTCAGCAGAGTCTCCTACGGGAATGTACGTAAGAGCTATACATACACTGAAAAAGTCTTCTAAAATCCGCAAGGCTGGATGGAAGAAAGATGGAGCAAACAAAGAGACGAGGCTGCGCTCCCCATGCTAAATACCGCAACCGTCGCTGGGGACGACCAATGGCGGCGCGGCAACAAGTTTGGCGACTGGGAGGACGTCCGCGTGTCTCTCGCTCACATGTGAGCTGTGGAGGTCCAGCACGCGGACAGATCTATATCCCCAGGCGGTGCCCGGCGCGACTGTCGGTCCTGGGGGCGAGCCCGGTTTGAATTCTTTTCGCGAAGGAGTTCGGTTGTAAAATTCTTTTCGCGCACGACCAGTCCCGTGCCTAGTGTCGTGCGAGGCAGCGTTGTAAAATTCTTTTCGCGGCTCTGGCAGCAGCTTCCCTACGAGGGCTCTTGGGCCTGCCGATCGCTCGACCTCCTGCCGAAGCGAAAGAGCAGTGGAGAACGCCTCACATCATGACGTCTCTCATCGTGCTCTCATCGCTCGCGCGCTGCGTTAACCTCGAGGCGTTAACCTCGAGGCGCGCTGTCCTCGCGGCGGCACCGGCGGTGCTCAGCTGCGCCTCCAGCTCACGTGCCGCAGACGCGAGTCCGACTGTGGTTGCCGTTGGTACTGTCCTGCAGAAACCCGACGCCGCCGTGCCAAGCGGCGCAGCCGCGCTCTATGTCACAGCTCGGCCAGCCTCCTCCGAAGGCGCGCTGCAGGCCGGGGCGAAAACGCCGCCGATTGCCTCGGCACGCTTTGCGACGCCGCTCCTTTTCCCCTTCGAGTTTGTTTTGACAACCGACGATCTTACTG